GTTATGAACGAGACCCCTCGATAACTGCCAGACATCCGCGCCGCCACCGGGCCCGCCGGGCTGCCCCAGGCGGAAGGAAGCGGCGCCACCAGCGTCGTGTGGCTCGCCCATTGCCGGCCCGGCGCCGATGCTGCAACGGTGGCGAGTGGTGCCGGCGCCAGCGCCATCGCGGAGCAAGGCGCGGGGCTGCTGTCCCGCGCGAGAAGAAGGAGGGCATCCGACGCCAGGACGGACTCGGGTGCCGGCTGCTCGAGGAGCGGCCTGCACGGCGGCGCGGCGCGCACCGGCACCGGCGCGCGCACGGGCACCGGCACCGGCGCCGCAAAGTGCGCGGCGGGCGTGTAGGCGGGCGATGGGTATGCGTTGGCGGCCGGGGCGATCTGAGTGAGCTTCACGGGAGTCGACACGCAGCTCGTGCGCGACGCGGACTCGGAGGGCGGCGGTGTGGTCGTTCCAGCTGCCGCGGAAGTACGCTGCTTGTCGCGCTTGAGCTTCTGCCTGCGGTTCTGGAACCAGACTTGCACCTGCCGCGCCTCGACACCGAGGTGCGCGGCGAGCTTGAGCCGGACGGAACGCGGCGGGAACGTCTCCTTCTCGAAGATGGACTCCAGCAGCACCTTGCCTGGAACCCACCTGCTGCGGTCACCCGCACGCTTCGAGATCTCGCCCAAGGAGCCGTTCTTGCCTATGCTGCTGGTTGAGGTATTCTGCTCTGGAAGCGTGGATAGGGGGCCGCCGGAGTCCATTGTCGGCGCGGTCCGGGGACGGAGAGGGTGAGCGCTCGGCCACACGAGGTGGCGGCAGCAGGGGGATCTAAAGGTGATCTGGTTTCCCTGACCCTCTCTGAGCGTCGCAAACGTTGAGACGTCCGTTTTGCAACTTTCTGCAACTTTGCTATGTCGCCGCGATGTACCCCATAGCTAAAGTTGAAGAACTTCGTAAAAGAGTTCGTAACTCTTCGTGTCCTTTGGACAACCTTCCATAATGGAAACTTAGTCGGTCATTTGTTCGGTATTCGGTCATATCCCCCCGGGGACATTGTGCCTGGCGGAATGCGGAACGCGGCCGTTTCAGAAAGCAAGCCTCCGTTTGGGGAGAGGGGGGGGGGTGTCTTCGGTATCTCTGCGCTCGTCTTGAAAGATCTTTTTGTCTCAACATGGCAAGCAGAGGGCCGCTATTTTCTTCCAAGGATAGGAAGGTGAAGAGCCTGAAGACACTCACAGTCAGGCCAGCGACTGGACAGTAAGGGTGGACGCAAGCGCCGTAGAAAACGGGTTGTCAGTCATCCTCTCATCCCACCTGTGAGGCTACCGCACTCCAAGTGCTCCAAGTGCACCGTATATTAATTACAGAGCGCGCAGCGACGCATCTTCACAGTCACTCAGCGATGGACGCCTATTCTTCTTCATCGATCTTCTTTGTTTTCTTCTTCATAACATAGAGGGGTGTCGAAGTCCGAAGAGATGCAGGGCAGCCTTCCTTAAGTCCGCCTCTCACACCCTCACAAGCAAGAAGAACCCTCACTGTCGCACAATATCTGAGTTTCTCAAGAGAGACAACCAACCTCGTGAACTCCCCCAATCCCCAGGGCAGCCTTCAGGGCTCGCACCTCAACCTCTCATAGACCAGCGCGCAGCGCCATAGGAGGTATTTTCTTCTCAATAACAAGGTCTATGAGGAGTCCCGTACCATGCGGAATCGACCCTATCCAGTGCTCAAGTGCTCAAGGTCTATGCCAACTCCCACGCAACTTGGTTTGGTTTATTTATGAGCTAGCCTTCGATGTTATGAAACAAACGCAAGGCGGACACACGCAAATCGCTCTCGGGCCCACAGACATCCCGCAAAAGAAAGAAAGAAAGAAAACAGGCAACCCAAGGGAGGGATGGGAGAACGACCCGCCGCCCCCGCGCGCGCCTCTTATTTATTGGTTTGCGTGAACACGGAACTGGGGCGGCGGGCGGGTCGGGCTCGTTCATGTACATGGCTGCTGTAGCCCCTGTCGACGTCGCCGCAATGCTGCAGTCATTTCATGACTCTTCCGTTGCGCCTGCACGGCCGTTGCCGGTGTTACTGCACCCACCACCGCCCCCCATAGCCGGCAGAGTGTCACAAGTCGCCGCTAACGCCGCATCTAGCGCTGCTGCTCTCTGGAGCATTATGCCCGGTGAACCAGGAGGCCAAGCAATGTACATCGGCCTCGTCGTCCCGATTGCGGCCATCCTTGCTGGCACCATTGTGTACTCGCGTTGCTGCAGGCGGGCTGGGGCCAGCGTGGCGCCCGGGCTGGCCCCAGCAGCCCGGCACGGCCGACAGCGCCGGCGCCGCCGGCGCAATGGCGCGCAGGTGGAGCAGGCTCCACACGTGAGGTACGGACTGAGCAGCGACGCGGCAAAGGAACTGCTTAAATGGAGGAGCAAGGCGGGTCAGGTCGAGTCTGATCAGCATTTGCTCGGAGGAAGAGAGGAGGAGGAAGCACAAGAGGCGGAAGTCCCCGCAGGGTCCCCACAGGGTCAGGGACCAGAAAGGGACGCCAGGCAGGCGAACCACGAGGCCATCACTTTCTTGTAGTCTCTCCCAGCGCGATCGCCGCGACCGACGCGACGGACCACACGCCGTTTCACCGTTCACACGCGCAGCCGCTTTCGTCCGGCCCCCATGTCTGCGGACTGCGCTGTGCTCTCGTCAGTCACTCCACGGCGCACGAGATTCGGGATCACCCGTCTCACCGCGCACGGCACCCTGACCCACGGTCCAGTGACGGCGGCGTAGAGCCGTGCGCTCGGGCGCACGACACGTGTGTGCGCAAACTGGGATGCAGCGTACAAAGATCAGTGACAACCTGGTGACAACTGGATGTGCGGAACCCTCGAACGACACCGCACTGCGCCGCCACTTGCACTTTTTTATTTTAATGCCTTGGGGCTCCTGAGTGTCGTCTAGAGGTGCAGTTCCTACTGGCAGTTGCAAGGGACGCCCCCCCCTGCCCCCACACCGCCGTTTTTTGTGTGTGGAGAAGTGTATTTACCTTACGTTACCTTACCTCATGACAGGTAGAAACAGAATCCGACAAGCGAGACAACAGTATAGAAAAAGCAGCATCCGCGTCCTCCGCTGCCTCGAGCGGCCAGTATCCTCGTCCTACCAAACACCCCCACCCGCGCCGAGCTCTCCGCCATCGCGCGCGGCGCGGGGGCGTTCAGAGCACACGCGCGTCACGCGTAATAGGACAGCGTCGCCTTCTTCTTTGCCTGCACGGCCGTCAGCCCCTCCATAAAATCCTCGTGCACAATCTCTGTCCGCTCGTTGCGCAGCGCAATCATGCCCGCCTCCACGCAGACGGCCTTGAGCTGCGCGCCGTTGAAGTCGTCGGTGCAGCGGCCGAGCTCCTCAAAGTTGACCTAAGGTGAGGTAAGGCAAGGGGAACCCCTCCACACAGGGGTGCGGCGTGGGGCAAAAGGGGCCAGGCTAGCCCCCTCGCGACTCCACGTCTGAAAAGACAGGAGCCGGCACGGCGTTCAAAGTGCAAA